CTTCTGCCAATTTATTCTCCATTTATATCACATGCCAGACCAATCGGTATTCATCTGTGATTAACATTTGGTGATGACCCATTAACAGTACATATCGGCCAACATATGACAGAATGGTCATGGTGCTGGAAAGCATCGCCACATTTTAGATGTTACTCAGGCACTTTTACTCTCCACTAATGTTAGTAAATCTTTGGAGAGAACCTTACCTCACAGCCATTTACACCATTAACCGAGTTTCTTCTTCTATCGTTTACAATCAATCTCTCTATGAGTGTCTCTATGGCACACGTTTCGAACCATGCTTGTAAAGTTTACATATGTGCTTCTTTTATCTTTCTTTAACCTTATGAACAAAGTTGATCCCTCATCTCAACTCTATTGCTTTCTTATTGTTGTTATAATCAGGTAGCTAAACATATTGGAGTTTCCCATCATGCGATTAAGAGGTTATCCACCCTTTGCCAAGTGGGTGGTGCGGGATACAGAATGCTTGCACACTGTGACAGTCTCACCCTTACCTGAGCTCAAGAAAATTCCTAATGCTGACCAAGTCTCCTCCGTTAGAAAGGGGTATTAGTCTAGCATGTCTATGTTTCATTTGTCTTCCTCCAGTTCTTTGCAGCTTTTTATTAGTAATTTTATCAGTATATTCCCAGATGAAATGTCCTGTAATGCGGGTCCTAGAAACTCTTCTTGTCACTTCTGTTTGGCCTCTTGTAAACCTGCTCATATTGTGGATCCCAAACCCTCTGCTTCACAACTTGTACCTTGCTCTCCTCGTCATTCAGCTACGGCAAGAGTTTCACATTCCTATCTCGATGACTGCCATTCTTATCCTGCTGTAGCTGCTTTATATGAGCCTCAATCCTTTTATGAGCATTGTTCTGACCCCTTTTGGCAAAAAGCAATAGAGGAGAAATTATAGGCCCTCACTAAGGAGGCATTTGGTTTGAATTCTAAAATCACTATCACTATAGGTATGATAAACTGGTGAATGGGTATGGCTTTTAATCAAAACCCAGAGTGTTTGCTAAAGTTATCCAGTAATAGGTTTTGAATTTATTGTTTTCTTTTTTCCTTTTTTTTCCCCTCCTCGCTTTCTCTTCCCCTTCTCTGCCTTCACCAATACCCTGACACTATAGTCACCACTTCACCATCAGCTGCCAGTGCCACCACTTCCGCCGCCAACACCAGCCACTGTCGTCATCCTTTTCACTTCACCAACCACGTTACAAACCATTTTTTCCAGTAATATCTGCATTTTATGTGTCCTAAAACCTTTGAAACAGAGCCAAAAGCAAGCAGCTCCACCACTAAGCCGCCATGAAATTCACCACCATCTTCACCAATTGATATCAGAAAAATATTCCAAACATCAAATTTGGTCAGGAACACAAGTAACTGATGAAGTTTGTATATAACCACATATGGCTATGATCATCTGCCAAACAAAGTTTGTAATCCCCATATTGCGTTTTATGGCCCCAAACAAGCTCGCCAAGCTCCTTGGGAAGCCTTGGATACCACCAGTTCATGTGATTCAACATTATTCATCAAAACGTCATCACAGCGAATCATTCTTCTTCATCAATGTGGATGACATCATAATCGATGGGTAATGACATTTGGGTATCCAAAAAGTTAAAAGTAATTCTTAGCACATCATTTTAAATGAAGGATCATGCGTATGTTTCCAATTTTCTTGGTTTAGAGGTCTCTAAGTGCTCTACAGGCTACGAAAACATCTAGTCGAGTGTGAATTAAAATCTTCTATCTTAGATCGGCCTAATAGAAACCAAAACTACTGACAGTCCACTTCAGAGTAATGTCAAGTTGCGTCCTGCTGATGGGGAACTTCTCATGGATAGCACTCGCTAGTTGGAAGTTGTATACTTGGTAAGCCAATTCATGTCTGCCAGACACTCCACTCACATTGATGCTGTACATGCAAGAGTGACCACTTACTCATGAATTTCACTTCTCATTCTCTTCTTCCCTGGAGTAGAGAGCCTTTTCTAATTCTGATTGGTTCAGTGATCCTACAAATCATCGTTTTAGAACAAGGTATCCTTTGACATTACTAATACAATCAATAGTGTTTCCCCCTAGTTTAGAATCGAGTATTGTACCTTGGCTTGACATTACTACTAAGCTCCTATGGTTGTGCTAGCTTCTTCATGACATGGGTGTCTATTCACACCAACACACTTGTTTAGTGTGATAGCCAGAGTGCCATCCAAATCACACATAATACATCTTCCACTAACGCATGCAGCATATTGACTGCCATTTTGTTCAACACATCATTTTCTACAGCATACCCTCTTTGCCTCTACTTTATCTGCTGATCATGTTACCAATCTTTTTTAACAAGACTCACTCACCAGGAAACTTTTGTGCTCTTCCAATCTCAACTTGATTTCTAACTTATCACCTTGATTTTCAACACCTTGACTTTGTGTTATAGTATCTGGAATGTTGATATTATTGTGCTTTACACATAAATATAGGCTATTGTATCATCAATATATTAACTCTTTCCATCCCAACTATCAAGAGCAATGGTACAGACATTTGTAGTGAGTGCAACCTTACTAGAAATTAAGCAAAATTAATGCCTGCTTTTGAAACTCCGGCAACCCTTAATAGAAGTCTTACCTAATCATTAAATTTGGTGCTAGAAGAAACCTAAAAATATGTTTGCAATATATAAAATACGATCATAAAAATGTACACCTCATTTTCTATACTAAGAATTCTTAGCCATGAAGTGTTATGTTAGAAAGGGGAAAAAAAAGACAGCTTACTAGGAAACCAAACACTAGAGAAGTGGATGGCTGGTTGGTATGTTGATATCATCAAAGCAGGTAGTCCAACCTGAAATAAGAATAGAATGGAATGAGATACCCATTCAATAGTCCTAAAAAGTTAAGAGGCCCTAAGTCTACTGGAAGGCTTTGAAATAAAACTTGGCTTGTACAAATATCCGTTCTCACATTCTCTTATATGAAAATCATATACTAAAACCTGTTTTCAGCTTTCACTTCTAGTTTCTCTCTCCAAGGATAATCATGGCACCTGCTATTGCTTTGCCGACATCTAAAAAGTGAATATCCAACAAAATGTCCATTCATCGATTACAATTTGACAAACTCTATTTATATGCCTACAAAGTTCTTAGGTGCTATAGCACCAAAATTTTTCTCGAGGGAATTGTGAATGCAACTCAAACAGATTTTGAAATTAGTCACGCTGTTTAGATCCATCCATCTTATTGTAAACATCTATCCATTTCATCCTAGTATATGTGGTTACATAAATCATGCTATGCATAATTTTTCCATAATCATAAATTAGTCTGACCATAGTTAGGACTTTCATCCAATTGATATTAAGATTTGAGAACCCTCCTTAGGAATGTCATGCACTGTAAACAAAACCCTTCCACTATATTATCAATATCTAATTACTAAAGCATGTAATGGTAAGATCTTGCTTGAGTAATCCACTAATGCAGTTTTCTTATTGGTGCATTTTTCTTCCCTAGGATAAGCAACATGGGGCACCATCACTTTTGCACTCAACACCAATGTGTTCTGGAAGAAATTAGCATCCGGCAAAGTAAATTCCTAAGTTATTTTATTCCACATCGATAAGCTCTCTTGTCACTTCTAACAGAGGCATGAAAAGGAAGGCTTGGCCTTCAACAGCCCCAGGCACATCCTATAGGTCGAGGACATATTTTGCCACGAGCCCCCTTTAAGAACGCTCAATCCAGTTATCTGATTGGTACTTCACCCTTTAAGAACACTCAATCCAGTTATCTGATTGGTACTTCACATTCATACTGGGAAAAACATTTCAAACCTGGAACCTAAACAGCTAAAATAAGCAAATTACAACCATCATAGAGTTAAATACTAAATTAGTATGTTCTATTTGCTTAACACCCCTGGCTCCAACCTTAGCTCAAGTTTAAAACAGTTCCTTCTGAGAAATTTCTCTGCAGAAAATCTTGATCAATGTCTTTTGCCTTTCCAAGTATTCAAAGCAACGGTACCCTTTTCTGGGTGCACCTTTTTCCCTTTTTCTGAAGGCTCTATTGATTGAACTAGTTACTACCTTGCTTAATTTGTTAAAGGACAAACTAAAACTGCAAAATCCATGACAGTCCCACCAAAATAAAGGATCCAAAAGTACAAGCTAAGAGAAAAAGCCCATGTAGGCAAAACTTAACAAAAATTAATTTGACAGAACTGAAACAGCACATCATCCCTTAAGCTGCATCATTAAGCCACATAATTTCAAAATACTGCTCAATGGTAACAAAGCCATTCATGAGTCGATTAGTATAAAAAATATACATGTGAAGCAATACTCAATAAGCTTATACACAATTCACTTTGTACTCTTTACATGTACGTTTCACAAGTGGAGCATAAACCAAAAAGCAATTTGAAGAGCACTTCCTATAATCACAAAGTATGCTAAGTGTCACTAATAAACTAAAATTGTGCATGTAACACAACACTCTAAATATGCTAATCCACATTTCAGTTTACACGAATTAAACTTTTAGGATAAGGCAAGCTTAGCAAAGCTTAGCACAATAGATCTAATGCAATTGGAAAACCACTTAATCAGTTATACACACCCTACTAGTCAATAATTCCAAAATTCTTTGGAAAGATAAACTTGCTGACATTTTATGGCTATTAAGCCCGTGAGTTTTCGAGAAACTTTAATTTGCTACAGTTAAGGGAGCTGAATATCTGAAACCCCACTAGATCGATGAAAAAGTTTCAGCAAAACATCCACTCCAAAACTATGCCTATTGATTGGATACCAAAAAGGTCAATGTACAGCAAAGAAAATAGCAATCCATGCATGTATTTTGCTTCCTTTTGGAAGTATTCAATTAATTGAGATAATGCACTTTCTTACCATCATCATTATTCTTATCCTTCCACATTAATACTTTGCTAAACATCAATATACTGGGTAAATATTTCAGTTGTGGTAACAGCTTTCCATTTAAAGCACGTTAGAGGCTTACTAAAGCTTATCTGACAAAAGTAAGCACTATGGCTGCTATAACAACGAACAAAGACAAAAGGGAAAGGTGAATATTTCTATACAAGACAATAATTACAGGTATATTAGTGTACAACATCCCTGAAGACCCTGTGCAATGAGGACACAAGGTGCAATTCATTCAGAGGGATGATCTCAATAAAAATTCTTTGAGCCCTATCTTAAAAAGAATCTAAAGAGATTACAGAAATTGAAAAAATACAATGATATCTGCCTGAAAAAAAAAGATAGGCAGAAAGGTGAACTTCCACCAGAGAGAATAAAGGTCTTCCGGGGGATCTCACACGGCATAACATCATGGATAAAACTGCTCTGCACAAGAGGCAAAGGAGTAATCAGTACAAGGAGAAAGATGGGAAGGGCTTATGATTGAACAGTTAAACCAAAGCTGAAGTTCTGAGGAAACTCTTGCGAATGAACATTTTTAGAAAAGAGCAAAAAAAGAAAATGTGGGAAGGAAAAAGCAGAACATAAAGCTTTGGAAGTAGACACACAGAAGAAGCAGAAGCTATTCTCCCAAGACCCATGTCAATGTAGAAGATAACAGCAATTGAAGACTTGATGAGTGAGAAGATTGAGAGTGTGTTGCTAGCCAAATAGTCAAATAATTGGTGTATAAATGTAGAGTAAAAATGTCCTCATCTCAACTGATTGAGGACAATACACCACCAGTGACACTCACATGAAACATTTTCCCATGCACATAAGTCCTCAAAAATGATAAATAAACAGTATGGAAACAATAAGGTTTGTGATGCTACAATGCCAACACTGATAGTAAGGGCTAAATTTTGTACAACAGGGTCTGTTTGGATTTGGAATTTTTCCAAACACTAGTTTTTCAAGTACAATGCTGCATAAAAAAAAAACCACCCTTTTCTTCCTCCAACTTCCCTCCCCTCCTCTTCCCACTTCCCTTCTCCTTCCAAAGCCCCCCACCCCCCCATCCCCCCAAAAAAATACAAAAAACCAATCTCCCCTCCCCACCCCTGCCCTCCTCCTCCACAACCAGATCTTAGTCACAGTGAAGAAGGGGAGGGGGAGAGGAGGAGGGAGTGGGGGAAGAGGAAGGGAGTGGGGGAAGGTGGCAGGCAGGAACGGGCGAAGGAGGCAGGTGGTGATGGTAGATTGAGAGGGAAGGAGAAATAGATTTTCAAAGTTTTTAAAACACTGGAAAAAAAAACTTTAAATTTAAAATCCCCCCCCCCCCAAAAAACAAAAAAAAAATCTACAGTAAAAGCTTTTAACCTACAAAGCTGTGGTAAAGCTTTTAACCTACAAAGCTGTGGTAAAGCTTTTTAAAAACACCCCTAAAGGACATAATCCATATGGACACAATTATGCTCATCATCATCCATTGACTTTCACTAGCCTTTTCAACGACTGTGTTTGGATAGTCGATTATTTGAGATAATTTTTTTGAAAAAAAAAAAAAAGTGTAGCACTTTTTTGATGTCACATATGTGAGATAAAAAGATGGTTGAAAAATATATTGATGATGTAAGCCAAAAAAATTTACAAATAAACTACAACCCAAACAAATCGAAAAACCTATAGCAACACAAGACTTGTATCAAATTTGGGCCACCCTTTTCTTTTGGATAAATGCCCACTACTCGGCTAACAATCTATCTGTTGCTTTTTTTTATAGGGCCCATTGTTGTATAAGAAGCTAAATACTTATCTATGTGTTGCTGTGCCTTCTTGCTGCATCTTAATAATATTATTACCTTCTCGAAAGGAACCCCAAAAAAAAAAAACAGAGAAGAGAAATCCTTACATCAAAATGAGCAGAACCATCTATAGTTGAAACAAACAAAAAATTAACTACTATCATTCGGCACTCGTGGTTGCTTACCCAGCTCGAAAACAGAGAAGTCCACTTTGTGTCTCTGTCTATTTCATTTTTCTTTGTTCCTTTCAGTATCTTCATTAGTATCTATCCTAGATGTAAGACATTGAGTTTTCATTTTCCTTTTTTGAGAAAAAAAAAAAAAAAGACACTGAACTGTTTATATTCTGATTCACATACTGAAAATGGTTAGTCGAGAACATAGAGCCTTGTTCAAGAATTATTTGCCATGAAAATTAAAATCACTCAATTTTTTGTAGAAAATTTTCTCCCCTTAACTGCCTCTTATCATTTAGGAGGAGATGCATGGGCCATTTGCAAAAATTTGGAAGCAAATAAATTTGGAAAGACAATCTAACTTCAAAAGCAGGAGAAGTTATTTTTACTATCCCTCAAAATGCAACACTAAATTTTCAATAACCAATTGCAACTCCTAGAACTGGGACTTCTTAACTCTAGTTAGCTGAAAGGGGCAGATTTCAGGGAGTAGCGCCAATAATCAAAACCTTAATAGACCCAAAATTGAAAGTTATTGACCAAGAATTGAGTTTGATATGGAACTATGAGGACGGCAATGAAACACACCTCATATTGAATATATCAAAACATGTAATCATCACTTTCCCAAACTTTCAAATGATGCTGGAAGCATCATGTAAGGGAAGTTTATAACATTTGTTCCCTTTTTGTTTCTAGCATAGACATTTTCCTTGAGTGCAATTTCGTTAAACTTCATGGCTAAAATGGAAGAGAAAAGAGGACCAGGTTCAGCTCAGCACAATTGCTTCAAGAGAATAATTTGTTCATTGCGTACATTAAAGAAGGTAAATGCTATCCATGTACTCTAAATCGCGACTATCACTTTAACGTCCTGAGGGTTCTTCCTTTGACACAATCATCTCACCTATAAAAATTAGAGAATTTTCTCTGAAAAATTCAATCATGAATTTGATAGAAAATACAACAAAAGGTGCATTAGTGATTCCATTCATAATCTTTTACATCTTTAGAAGATTCCTGTGTCCTCTTGTAAAACCTTTGAACTCATATCTCGTCAGTAGGTGAATCTTAGAAACATACTTTTCTATGCCAACTGGGAACAAACTGGATTTCTCAGAGCTTGAACCACAGAGACAACAGTTTGTGCAAGAAGGAACAAGGTCGGAGATGCTTGATGAAGGCAGTAATCCTGCAAAACTTTCCAGTTTAACAGGTGATGTCTTTTCTACTCTTATCCTCCTTTTTCTTATTAGTCTCTATGGTGAACAACAATCCTAGGTCAGTTCACCTGATGCTTATATATGATGCCTGGGAAAGTGCTTCAAAAAATTCTGAGAGACCCTTTTAAACACTTTTATAACTTGCAACAGATGCAGAGGGCACCTAAAGTAAATCATAATAGATAACAGGGCAAATGGAGCCTGATACACCATAGCTTCACCTTCCAACTTTGTCCTCGTATTACATACTCAATCCAGAAGGCAAAAATTAGATTTAAATCTCAGCACAACTCCCAACTCCTTTTTCCTTGTGGCTTCTACATCAGTAACCAACTTCCCTACCTTCACAGAACCTTCCACTGCAGCCCAACAAAATAGAAACCAAACCCTAAACCAACAATCCCCCTTCACTGCCATCCTCTTCCCATACCCAACTGCCGTGCAAGGTATAGTGAAAGCCAAACTCTTTCAGCAAACAGCCCCAACCTTTTTTGGTTGTCATTGTTCCCAAAAAGTACCCAGCAGGATCAGATAAGCAATCATGCGAGTGACTGAGAATTACTCCCTAAAATATTAGGCATATTTAATAGTGAACTAAGATCCCTTTCTGGTACACAGCAGATTGCTCTACCGTTGCATGCCTTAACGGAATTTCACAAGTCGCTTGGATATTGTATGTTTATGTTAAAAAGCAAACACCATTAGAAAATTCTCAACATTATCGATCGACCATTACCTAATTGAGCAATATCACTAAAGAGAAAATGGCATTGCATTCACAACTCTTTAGCGAGTTTTGTAATCCAGCCTTTAAGATATTTCTCCCCTTTTATTATCAGCTTCAATTCTTGATCTGGTAAAGATTGAAAAATTTTACAACGTGGCCGCTGAAGAGTGTTATGAGGGTTTGTAGCAGGGAAAATATTTTATTTTTGTCTACAAAATATTCTAACCTCCTCTTGCCAAACACACTCCATTGTGTTATAATGGTGTAACAACAATTTCCGCTAAGTTCAGAATAAACTTTCTAAAATTTCATTAACTTGTTGAAAAACCAATAGCAAATTTTGAAGAACAACTAAATTGCAGGAAGATTAGAAATCTTGACCATTCACAACAATTTAGTGTAGTGTAGGTCTGATTTGTTTATACATTATCCATTAATTGAATGGTAAACCTAATCTATAATGAGTGGATAACAAAAGGATTGAGAACATGCAATATAGGTTTGTGACTTTATCTGTGAAATACATAAATATGCATAGAACTAGTGAAACATATACAGTAAGAACTGAAATTTTAGCTCATGACTTAGAAAAGATCGAAGCAACTCAATGCAAAACCTTCTTAAAATGAAAGGTTATATGGCTATATTGAAAACATCAAACACCCCTCATGAAGCCTTAATCATCATTCAATATTGTGTAGTCATGAGATGTAGAGCATATGGAAATGAAATTCAAAGACACATCTACCCACTTTCAGAATCAAGCATTTAAAAGACTTAATTCTTATTAATATGTGGATTAATTGCCAAAATGTTTAATTTACTAATTAGTTTTAGTGCTTTGATATTGTAGATTGTCTTCGATTTAAAAAATAATGAGTTCCTCTCCATTGATAGTGTAGGTAGACTTAATAAATTTTCATAAAACTGCAACCTCAAGATCCTATGAGATTGAAGCCAGAAGAACATAAAAAAATATAGAAATATCTACAACTAATTACTCCCTCTGTCCCATTGTTATTGTCATGTTTCGCCCTTTTTATTGTCCCAAAATTTGAGTCACACTACAATTCATTCACATAACGTTCCACTTTTACCCTTGACAAGAGGTGATCTAAAAATTTTATGGGACCCAAAAAAGTATCCTTATCTGAAGAGGTGGTGCATGGGTGGCACCACAAATATATTTGTGGCGAACCTTGTCACATGAATCTTACAGCCAACTGAAAGGTTTGAATGATGTGGGACCCAGGATTCGTTTGTCAGTACAATACCAGCGCCTAATGGGTTTTTTGTATGGATGAAGGGGCAGCAGTGGAACAAACCTATCAAATCTCATTATCAGGGACATGTAGGAGGTAGATTAGTCCATTTAAAAAACATAATTACCCTAATATTAAAACATACCTTCATATCAGTAAGACAACTGCTTATGTCTGCATACAACATCAACTGATTATGCTTTTACTTTAGCAATGGAAGTTGTCTTAAAGCATTTTCCCCTACTGAGGAATATATCTATAAATCCAGAATGATGCTAAAAAAGGCATAGTTATCAGAAGGCACAAAAGAAAAAGAGCCATTGCCAACCTCTCATTCTCCTTTCCAGTCAACTAATTCACCACGAGGCGCATACAGTTTCGATGCTCGTTCCTCGGCTTCAGTATCATTTACTACACCACGGCATCTTGGGAAGCCACAATAACAAGCAAGTTGTTCATCTTTAGCAAAGAATCTGGTATGCAATCAAATCCAGTCAGCAAAATCTGGTAATATCATCACTATAGAGAAGAGGAGGGGTTGTTAATTCCAGAGTATGAGTTGTATCTGGACCTGTAATCATAAGTCAATTCTTCCCATTGTTTAATATCTCTTTTGGCGAAGATGATTATGTGCTCATCACCATTTACGCTTATCACTCTTGAATAGCAATTCGGCTGCAAAGAATCATAAGTTAGACAGCATAACAGGTACCTATAAGGTGCACTTAAGATACCATTAAAATAGATGAAAGGGAAAATCGTTTAAAAAGTCCCTCACATTTTACAAAATGACTTTTTTCATCCCTTACTTTTAAAAGTGTACTTTTACGTCCCTTACAAATTCATATTGATTAAATTTGGTCCCTATCTAGGTTTCCGACTAGTTTTTTGTCAGAATCCACCACGTGCCTTGCACGTGATCATTTTTTAAGGGCAAAATTGTCAAATCAAAATTTACATAATTCAATCCACAGTCTCTCACATTTCACAAAATGAATTGTTTTGTCCCTCACATTTCACAAAATAAATTGTTTCGTCCCTCACATTTCACAAAAATGAATTTTTTCATCCCTCATATTTTACAAAATAAATTTTTTCATTTCTCATTGTTCATGTGTATGAATAACTTTTTTTTAAACTAATTTATATATCTATTTGATCTCACATGGACAATACAAATAGCATGTAATATATCTCTATTTAATTTTCGCTTATACATACTGTTTATGTGAAATTAAAATAGATATATATATATAGGGGTTTAAAAAAATTGTTACTTTTCACTCATGTTCATTCCTTTTACTCGAAAATTGAAAACAAAGAAGACATTTAATTCTAAACATTATCAAGTATTTATATCGAATTAAATTTAGACAGAAAAAATAAACAAAGGAAAAGTATCACAAAAAGAAGTAAGTAATTGACACTTTCAAATTTTAAAATAATCATAAGGTAAGAAATTCAATTGTTGGACTTAAAGGTAACGAGTAAAAATTTCAGATTTAAATTGTAATTTGTTAGCATGACTATAGAATTCGAATTAACACCGATTAATTAGATACTCTTATTAAACAACTCAATAAATGAATTATTACTAAAATAGAAAAGATTATAAATATTGAATAGATTCACATGGTGAAATCACATATATATATATATATATATATATATATATATTTTTTTTTTTAAAACAAAATTATTAGATTTAAACCCATGTACATATTGATCTGTTTAGGTGAAATCAAATAGAGATATATTATATATTATTTGTACTGTTTAGATAAAATCAAATAGATATATTCATGAATTTAAAAAAATAAAACTATTCGTACACGTCGTCAATGAGAGATAAAAATATTCATTTTGAGAAATCTGAGGGACGAAAAAATTTATATTGTGAAATGTAAGGGACGAAACGATTCATTTTGTGAAATATAAAGGACTATAGATGGATTATGTAAATTTTGATTTGACAATTTTGCCCCTAAAAATGATCACATACAAGTCATGTGATGAATTCCGGCCAAAAACTAGTCAGAAACCTAGATAGGGACCAAATTTGACCAACGTGAATTTGTAAAGGACGTAAAAGTACACTTTTAAAAGTAAGGGACGAAAAAAGTCATTTTACAAAATGTGAGGGACGTTTTGAACGATTTTCCCTAGATGAAATATTCCAAAAGAACAGTAGATTTAAATGACATAAGCCAAAGCATAAAAGAACCTCAAGGATCACCTTCATAAGGGTAAACATACAAGTCCAAGTTCAGAAAGCAACATGTTCAAAATGGAATCACTCAGTATCAATGACTCACTTCACTAGAAGAAAACCTTAGCTTTCTGTATAGATAAAGACAGGTTATGGAAGAGGAGGAGAAAATGGGTTTTGCTGATGGTGGCGAGGAGGACGACGAATAAGAGCCGTGGTGGATTTGAAAGAAGCAGCAGGAATGTCTGGTAGTGGTGGTTGTGGGAGTTCTTGGCTCCGAAGAAGAGTTGTGGATTAAGCAGCAGGAGTAGATGGTGGTTGCGGGCTTTCTTGGCTTGGAAGACAGAGTCCTGGTGGATTTTATAGGAGGAGCAGGAGGTAGTGGTAGTTGCAAGAGGAAGTAGGAGGAGCGGTTGGTGGTAGTGGTTCAAGAAGGAAGACCCATCATTTCGGGAAGATCATTGGGAAAGAAGATAGTTTCCAAAACTTTGATTTGAACACAACCTTTTGGGCCAATCTTAGTTTAACCCAGGAAAAGAAGAAGAAATAAATGGGAAAAAAACGAGGATATAAAAGAAATAAAAAAATAAATGAGCAAAACTACTAATTTACAAATTTACCCAACTACTCTTAAGATAAACAGAAAAGGGGGCTTATATACAAAATTTTCAAACCACAAGAAGGTTCAATGGAAAAGCACTAAACCACAGGGTGTAAAAGGTAAATTTACCCTAAAACATAATTCTGTACAATGACAGGACAATACTCCCATGATAAGAAAATAATATATCAGGTGAATTAACAGATAGAGCAAAAACAAAATGTAAAGTACATACTTCACATGAATGATTAATCAAATGTGCAATGCTCCCTGCTCTTGTGGCATCAATAACACGTTCATCATCAATTCTAAACATGTAGGTTCCAGCACCCTGAATGTAGAAAATTTTAATCAAAACAGCCCTTCATATTTCCACTATCATGACAATATAAGCGCATAAAACAATCATAATTACCATTCGGATGATTGCAAGCAGCTTCTAAATTACGACTGACGATTAGACAAATTATTAAAATGGGTATGGGCCACACAAACTATATATGTAATTGGAAAGATAATGCAGTGATAAAAAGTTTATTCTGGTCCGTTATACCAAGGGTACAACCATTCACAACTAAAAAAGCAGGACAAATGAATAGTAAAATCATTCATTCTGCTGCTACGGATGTTTGAATACCACGTTATCAAACCCAATAAGTCAAGCTCGGATGGACAAAGTGAATAACTAAAACAAGAAATTCTCAGCAGAACAGTCACCAAAACAGGCGCCACATGAAGCTACATAAAAAAAAAAAGCACACAGAAAATTTCAGTGAAATATTCCTTATTTTATCAGCATCATATCTACCCTAGTAAAAACATTACCAAGCAACTACATTATTGAACTGATAAGAATTGATTAACGTCCGTACCACCAATGAATTGTAGATTAGATGTTCTCTTCGATCAGCTATCGAAGGTCTAACAAGTTCACCAATATATTCAATCACCTAAGATTAGAACATTCAAAATATCAGTTGTTTCAAGTTCCTTAGAAAAAGCTTGAGAACAGGTAGCAATCACATCAACTCACCATGTCCCCAGCTCTATAGGGTTGTTTTGCAAAGATGCCAAACCCATGTATTCTAGATTTTCCTGCATATGATAGCAGTCTTAAAAGTCAAATATCTGCATAACAGAAAAAGGCAAAAAGATAAAGCATAAAAACTTTTAATTGCATCAGATTGGTCAAATACCAAGTGTTATTTAATTCAACAGTTCAATCTGAATTGAGCCTTTTTGCTATCTTCATATTGTCACATAGAAAGTTGCCTTTTCAGACCTAAAGTGCAACAATTAGGAGTCAAAGGATTACATTTCCAAAGGAGTTCTCTTCCTATGCCTTCACATTCACTGGGCGGCATCCCATGTTTAAAACTTAAAAAATCTATTGACAGTGGGAGATTGACCACGCAATCCTTGAAGCCATTAAAATTTCTGTGATGCAGCAACTAGCGAAGACAATGAAAACATTATTAGAAAGAAAAAGAATTGTACTGGAGAATCCGGCACCCAAATGAGTTCATTATTTGTTTGAAGTGTCGATACAGATGCTGTGCTCAAAGCAGTTGCATTTGGTAGGAGATATTGGACCTGTCAGTGTTCTATATTCAATGAAGCTCAAGAAGAAACAGTCTGAATTTGCATTGTGTGAGCATCCCAATATGGTTTTTTCAAAATGAACTGAGAATGTTATGCAGAGAGATCCCTAGGTATATAATTGTGCTGAAGACATAGAGGCAGAGTCAACAGGGACAAGAAATCATGAAAGTTGACACCACTGCAAATTAGCGAACCTCGTTAGGAAATAAGGTAAAAGTTTAATCTCCCTTCTTGCACAAACAATAGAAAGGACTTCCAGGAAAACAAAACTTCTTGTTTGCAATATTTGCTACAAACGAAGTTACCTTAATTGTACACAACCAAAGGAAAAAAAATAACTAAAGCTCAATAAAACTACTCAACATCTCAAAATATTGGCAGGTCCACATTCTGCTCATCTTTCAAGTAGGAAAAACAGCTTCAAAGTTTAGTACTAAGAAAAGTAAGGTTAAAAATTCTTGCTTACCAAACACAAGCCGCTTTCGAAAGGTTTCCCTCATGTATGTGTACTTTTCAGCCATTGAGAGGATGCTCCCAGATGCATCAAGCTGAGATGATTTCAAGTTTAACAGGTCAAGTGAAAATCGAGAACCAGCAGCTGAACTGGAGGAAACATCATTCCCAAAGGATGTATGTTGGCTGAATCCACCAACTAAATGTGGCCTGTTCTCCACATATAAGCGTTTCAAGGATGCAGCAGCAAGAGCTTCAGGTTCTTTCCGTCCTCTTCTTCCAAAATAATTATAAGGCTCTGAGGTAATGATTCCAACAAAAGATTACTACTCCAAACATCCAAGCTAATGCAATTTCTTTCTCAGTGTGGATTGGAGATGCATTTGAAGAAAATGACTCTTAAATCCATGGACCTATATTTTCTGGAACTTCCAGCATGTAGATATTGAAAGCACTCAACATCAAATTTGATAAAGACACGAGGGAAACTATTTTTTCTATATTTTAAGTACCAAAACGCAACTACAGAAATAATTTAAGTGGAAATTTCAAGTACAAATTCAAAAGAATAGCGAAAACGAATAAAATATCAAACCAATCAGAAACTTTGCAGTGCCAAGAACAACTATTTGAATCCCATAGAAAGATGGGAAATATCAAGAATGAACCTAGTTAGACCACCCATAACATAGCACCCAAACTTGAGCTTAACAAAAATATCCTCTTATTTTAATTTCTCGAATAGAGAGATCCATGAATCAGGATCCTCATGCACGTAGATACAAAGGGAGCAATAATTTCCAGAAACATTTGGAACATTTTGCTTCTGCCAATAAAGTCGACCATATTATGCTCTCATATGAATAGGGTTGACAAAATGGCATATTAGATATGCATGACAAACAATACTGAAGTTCTTACAATGATGAACTATGCTCAGAGTTACAACACATGCAAGATTACTACAAACTACTTGAGTTAAGATGTAATTACCATAACAGAAAATATGGAACATATCGCACCTGTACGAGCACAACCAGAAGTATTCAATGGGGGAGTGTAATCCGAGAACTTAAAGGGTTTTTGTGCAGTTCGATCTTCTGTAGCTAAGCGCTCACTAGATAGGGGGCTATGCCTCTTGCAGAAGGATAACAGACGTATGCATTGATCGTCGTCCTCTTCATCTGGAGGGGCCAAATTTAGTCTGTCCTCATCCTCAAGCTGTAAAATATGAAACTAAAAATCATTTGTACTTGTCATCTAGCAGGGAAAAAATATTAAGCTTAAGCGATTACATATTTCTCTTCTCCATAGTCAGGAAACAAGAATGAACAAAAACTTAAATTCTTGATATATTAAAGTACAAATTATTCATAGATGAAGAATGAGAAGAATACCTCTAGGCAAAATCCTGCAGCACGTGCACAAAGAGGATGATACGCTACACGGCAATTATGATTTGAGCACTGCAAATATAGACTTAAAACCATTTAGCTTCACAAACTAGCTATGACATAACAAATTACATGTATGTAGTACTGCATATGACAGCCAAAGTATAAAATACCAAATTTACTACAGCAATGATTTTTCAAGATTGTCTACTGAATAAGTAACTTAAGTATCTAATGGAGCTTTTCTTTAACTATGCTACAAGCAATATATCCTCGACACCTAACCATGAATAAAAGAGAAACCAAATGACAAAATATTTTCTGAGAAGTTTTAACTATGATGAAACTACAGGAAGCATTTCAAACAGTCCAAGACTGAAAAGTAAAAAGAAACACAAAAACCAAAGCACATTAGTAGTAGCCAAAACCTGAAGAAGTGTGTCTAGAGGAGCAACACATGGATGAGATGAACACTTTTACTTATCAAACTCCCAATAGGCATTTTTTTTCCTTAAAAGGCATTTTACGATTGGCCAAAACATTAAGAAACAAGCGTGCCTAAAGGAACAGCACTACATGGACCAGACAACTCAAATCACTTTCAGCTGTCAAACCTCCAATTATAATTGCATTTCCCCAGAGACCAGATCCAAACTCTTAACTTTTTGGGCAGAAAGAAGGCTAACAATTTAGCAATGAATTTGACATTCTAGGTACAATTTAAATTGTATTCTCACGCTCCAGAAATCAAAGTATGAGGTGCATCTTTCATGCTTAAAACAACTCTGAAAGGAATGCAAAAAAGAGAATTGGAGAACCACACAACTAAAACAACTGAAGTGCAGCCAGCCACAGTAGAGCTAACAGTTGCTCTCCTCAAAGAAAATGTTAATAACTGTCCTAAAAATTTTGAATAGGTTCAGGCAGGGCAAAAGAGGGATTTCCGTATAAAAATCTCCAAAGCTAAGAGGGGCATTAGAGAGTTCCAGAACTTAGGTTTCAGGGGGTTCAAACACCTTCCACAAAACCATTCAGGTTGCCTCTACCCCTCTGCAGTACACAGCCTCAGACTTAGCTTGCAAGATGGAGAAAGAAAACTGCATTTTGTGGTGAGGAGCAAAAAACCATCAAAAGTCGGTCTCTAAATTGAGCTGCTATAGCCAATATTTGATAATGCCAAAAACAGTTAAAATTTTATTGAAATGTGAGGGTATTCATTTCAAAGGAAGATAGATTCATAAAGGACTCCCCAATCATCTATTGCACCTTGTAAATTGCAGGCAAGGTGGCTAATGTTGAGGCGCTTAAAACCATGTCTTCTTTAGCAATACCATGCTATTTCCAATAAACCCCCTTCCCTTTTCCCTCATTTTGATTGACAAATATGGCAGACAGTAATTGCTTGTTACTTATCCCAGAGGCTAACCATTCTTTGTGATAGTTTACCATGAAAGGCTAAAAATTGTAAGATAAAATATCCAAATTGAACTTAATATTAACTGAAACTAATGTATTTAATAGTTGAATCAACACCTCATCAAAAAGCTTAAGAAGGAAAACAACTTTATTCATCTAGATACTACTTAAGATAAAGAAGGATATCAAATACTAAAGTAGAAAGCCCCAAGCATTGATGATTAAGCAGAAATTGCTACTTACACTTCCTTTTTTATCAGACAGAGAAGTTCAAAACATGAAAATTGATGGTATAGGTTAATTTTGCGATACAAGCCTTTGTAAGAGACAAAGCACAAGCACATAACACCTCTCTCTCTCTCTCTCGCTCTACCCACCCACCCTCCCCCCTCTCTTTTCTTTCATTTTTTTTTGGTTAAGTATATATTACTCATCCATTACAGCTGAATTTCAGATAAAACCTTCCTCCAATTTTGTATTCATTTCAGAAACAAGTATTTACATAAAACAATTTATAAAACACTCAGGATTAAAATAAAAGTGTAAAGACAACATCAAGAAATAGGGAAAAAATGAAAAAATTAAATATAATCAAGGACAGTCTAACCTGTATACAAGCTCCATAAGAAACACCACATATGCTACATAAAAGTTTCCAGCGGTCCTTCATGAACAAGCAACATGAAAGTATATATGAATCAGTACATAAGTAGAATAGATTGCAGATTATGAATTGCCTAAAAATAAGTGAGCATGTTGCCTGGTGTATAAGTTTTCGTTAGGAATGTCATTCAAGTCATGGGAGTTACCTCTTGAAAATAGAAGAAAACTCAGAAATAAGCAGAAAATAGTTCTTCGACTAAACAACAGAAACACGTTAGAGTTAGTATACCTTGTTGATTCTACTCAGCCCATCAATGGGTTCCATTTTTGTGATGTCAGATAAGCAAGTTTCTGGAGGAAAAAGCAAACTCATAAACATGACCATTTAATTAAGTTGATGATGCAAAAAACAGAGTGACATCCATACACAGCAGAACACCTGGTATCCAGATGGCACAAGCCAGATGAGCCCACCGGCCATCTGTTGTAGGCTTCATGGCACCTCCTAAAAGAAAATGTCAATAATGGTCATAATAGTGACCAAACATTCTTCTAATACTAAACATGCTAAAGCACTAACCAGTAATAAAATACAGAAAAAAAACACCTGTAACAGGACATAGACAGCAAGGAGGAGGTTGTTCAGGAGCCCCTGGACGACACAAGTTGCATAACCAAAGAACACCATCCAGAGGCTCTAATTCTCCGTAGCACCTAGCATGAACCTGAAGAAGAAAAATTTGTGAAGCTAAAATCATTCAGGTGACTTGGGGAGTAAAAAGATACATAAAATCTTTTCAATAAAACCCATGCAATAGCTAACATTGGATGTAACAAAGATAGGTAATGGAAAAACAAAGACCGATAAATACTTAACCAATGGGTCCAAAAATATTTGATATCTCAAGAAACATATACAGGCAATCAATCAGATAATAAGATTGTAAGTTTCCCCAATTGGATCCTTCATCAATGTGGTTGTTGATGTGACAACACTGAATTTCATAGCACAGCGTGAGATTGACTTCTATCCTCTCTCTAATTAAAAAAAAAAAATTCAGCTGTTATGTAAGCTGCACCTCTTGAATGATTTAAGTTATTTTGTCCAGACAAATTCATAAATGATCACCTCACTCATTGTTAAGGTAACAAACCAGCTGATAGATAAGGTAGCTATAAGGTTGAAAGGTATGGTTGACAAGCTAAACAAGTTTAAAAGAGAAAGAAAGCCCTTTAACGTAGAAACAACTGTGTAGCTCAAGTTACAGGCTCTGGTTGCCACAACTATGGCACAGGGTTCAAACTTCATCCTTTCACTCCCACCTTTCAAATGGTAAACAGAATGTAAAAAAAATAGACCATAAACATGGTCTTGATATTATACGCATGATTAGCAAATTATAACTGCAAATATGTGAAGCCCATAACATGTAAATCTAACCTCAATTAAGTAATTTACAACTACAAAACTAGTCCAACAATATTGAAATTCAGGATGCTGACGTAACTCTTAGAAGAAGTGCAGGAAATGCAGGAAATGCTTTACTTTTGCTATCAGTGCAAATAACACTTGAAATAATACAACTCTATACTGTCCTTGGTATACTCCTAATATCTCTGCTGAAGTGTAACATAATCCCAGGTTGACGAATCACAGATAATGAATCTCCAGTAATAGTGGAGACTGAGGAGCTGCATGATGACTTACCATAATTCGGCATTTGTCACACTGCAAGAACAGATTGTTCTCATATTCCTGAAAATCAAAGGGGGTAGGGGAAAAAAAGAACTGTCAAGCCACTTGATGCAACCTCTCTAATCTGTAGTACACCAAAAAAGTAAATGACAAGATCAATGAGAAAATCATAATCGAGAATGCTGTTGGCATGATCAAGAACATAAAATAAATTGAGAAAAAAAGTACGGCAATTTGTCAAAGAAATTTCCCTATTTCAGCAACAATGTCCATAGGCATCCCCACAGATGAAGCAGGAAAAGAATAATTTTGTGCATGCAAAAGAAAACTATAAAACTTGGCAACAGGTGTGAAAATTAATAGGAAGAATGTTAAAAGAAGAATCCAGATTTTCACCTCATCCATATGGCAGACATTGCACTTATCAAGGTCCTTCCACTTCACATCAACGGGTCTGTAACCAACAGGAAAGTCTTGATATCTTGCACGTGCGATCTTGGAGGCTTTTGAGGGCATCCTGGAAGACGAAGTTGATAGCTCCTGTCAATAGCACAATCAACAACTTAAGCTAGTTAAAGAAAGATATCAAGAAGTATAAAATAAAAGCAACCTCGATTAAGCAAATTCAATAACAAGATGAATTATAGTTCATAGAAACTAAAAGCAAAGACATCCATGAAAGTTAAAGAAAAATAACTACATTAGAGAAGAAAAGTTAATAAAGTCAGCTTGAATGGATCTTATACCCCCTAAAACTAACCCCTGAAAAGATTAAAGGGGTCTCAAGTTGCCTAGTTCAAAAAAAAACTATTCTCCTTTCTCCTTTCCCAGAGTAAGAAAGCGTCCCATTATCTAACCCATCATCCAGTCCCAAATCCTTTAAGAAAGAAATGCCTCATGAAGCAACAGTGCCTCAAAGGGAGTATCTCCTCCCTTGAGGTAGGATATAGCAAGGGAGAAGCAGGGCATTGGCAGTTGCAGTTCCTACCATCATTAAACACAGTTCGATTAATGTTGCAATAGGACTAACACAAGATTTAATGTAACAAATCACACAAAAATTGCTGGTTGTAAGTGATAACAAACAGGGAAACAATGACAATGGAAGCTAAGAAAGGTAACACCAGAATGGAAACAAGAACAGAACTTAATCCCTTCAAGTAAATCAACCGGTTGAATATCCAGATCTGTACCAACGACTAACAGAATGGTATCAAGGCTTTCAAGGACAGAGGGTTTTTTATTAATTCTCAACGTCAGCAGGGGCAGACATTGGGAAATTGGGATGGGGGAAAGCAAGCAAGTATAATCACTTCTGAACTGAAATACTTTAGGTCCCATTGCAGTTAGCTTCAAAGGTATGGCATTTAACATAGAAATTTTAAGAACGAAAAATCTCCCTTAAATTGCATGCGACTCCTATCTAGTATTGGAATATGATGTGTTGAAGCTACCATCAGATGTGCCAAATAATCGATTTGTTTGGGTAGTAGATTATTTGTCAAAATTTATTTGCATCATCACCAACATATTTTTCAACCACCTTTTTATCTCACATAAATCACATTAAAAAAGTGCTACAACATTTTTTCAAAAAAAATCTCCCAAATAATCTACTATTCAAACACATTCAATATATAATAATGATGTAATCTTCTAATTTTAGCCTTCCATCTAATCTAACATCCATAAAGCACCTAGCTAGGTAATCAATATTTCTACACCAGCTTAAGACATTTGAATTATTATTCTCTTTTCATTTATTAAAAATTATTTGATCACAGGGTAGGTTCTTGGCCATCAGACATGAATCGCCTAAACAAAAGCTTCAGTTTTTAAAACACTAAAGGACATCGAAAATTGATATTGTAATCCATCTTTGAGGTGGATCAATTACTTATTAGGCTGCATGGACCATGCCATCCAAATGTGCCTTATTTCTCTCCAATTGTGAAGTCATACCCATTTAACAGTCTTCCACTCACCATATTATTTTAATGTTCATCTCCATTTCCTTATCCTCGTGCATGCAGAGAGAGAGGATGTGGGCCTGACCCGCAATTAATAAGACAAAATTTCCTTTAAAATTTTTGAAGAGAGCTAACACACTTCTACAGCATTAACAATCAGAATTTTGCCACAGTACTAAAAAGGCTATACCACAGCACTATTTGTAGAGAAGTGACAAAATTTAGCATCCCTAAGACTAATAAACAATGACAACAACAATTGCTGCCTACAATTAGTGAAGTAATTCTTCTTATAGAATCTCCCAGAACAAGATGTCAATTGACAGTGTCACAAAAATCCAACCAACTTAGAGCAAGTTATTAAGAGACTGTCAGATGAGGGAATTTCGACCAAATGTGCAACTTTTTTAAGTGCCTAGCAATTGTCCCAAAGATTATATGTCCACCTCTATCTTGAAGAAAAAATGAAAGGGAAGGAACTTAAGCCTGTAGATCCCTATATATAATACTAACATCTGAAATAGCAACACAACCCGAAAGTTAAATTCGAAAACTTTACCAGCCTTCAAAAGCAGGTATTCGATTTGATGCACAACTCCATTTGGATTTCTTTAACCTATCTACAGTTTTAACTAGTACTACAAGCGCCAAAAGGATACAGAAAGGAAAAGTTTTTTCTCCAAACAGTTTTGCCAACATTTGGGGTGAGATGATGGAGGAGATCAAAGGTTGGGGTGAGATGATGATGGGCTGATAGCGAGATTGAGGGCTGGGGGAAATTGGCTACCTTGAAAGGAAAAGTTTGGTGGCTAGGGGTGGCAGATAAATTCTCAGCTAGATTGGCAGAGAATGACGAGACAACTTGGTGGGCTGGCAGGCTGAGGCGGCTGCCTTAACGAGGAGGAGAGAGAGGTTGGGGCTAGTAGGATGAGGAGATGGTGGGTACTGATAGAAGCTGGGAGCCATGCAAATCTAGGGGTAAAGAGATTCACATAGAAGAAAGGAGATTAAGAAAAGAAGGAACGGGGAAAATCGAATTTTGGTCTTGTTAAAAATCACTATTCATGTGTGATTGCCAATTTTCATGTTCTTTAAACAAGTACAAAACATCTTTTTAGGTGTTTTGGAACAGGCTCAATTTTATAGACATTATTCTTTTTTAAAAGCATAAACATTTTAGTCAAACAATTTTTTTTTTTGTTCCAGTTCATTAAATACTACAACTTAAACAGGAAAACAAGAAACATAAATGTTACCAAACAGCCACAAGAATTCATAGTTCCACAGTGAAAGTATATGAAGAATCATGAGCAAAGTCAAACACATACCATCCAATTCCAATACAACAGAATTTGAAAGAAACCAGTAAGTTCAACAAAAAATTTAATGCAAGTTTCACTGAATTTGACAATCAAGCAACTTAAGGATATGGAACATTTTCAGAAGCGAGAGAACATCACTTCAATACGTAAGCATTAATCTTTCTCACCAAAGACGCAGATATTGGTTAACCAAATTACCCACGCACTTTTTTGTCTAATTGAAGGTTTTCATTCTATAATTTTGGCTTCATTCCTTTCCTCTTTTCTCAAGTCTCCTGCAAATTTACCTAACTCCTGCCCTTGATTACATACCAAAAGCCTCAAAAAGCTATCAAACAAGTCGATCAACAACAAGACCAGTCTGGTGCTACATCATATGTTAAATAGAAAGGCGAGCTTAGTATTACTGAAATCATAGAGGAGAAAACTGAAGTTATTACCTGTATCAGTTTTGAAATTTCAGGATGGGAAAAACCAAACATGTCTGCACCAGATTCGCAAAACTTCTCAGATACACTTGGTTGTAAACCTTCTGACTGAATTTTCCTCATTCTTCTGTAAATTTTGTTCCAACAGGCAGATGGAGTGGTTCCACTAAACTGTAAAGGAAGAGTAGCATTAAAGAGAAATCGCATGGAATTGATGTGCCTATATGCAGCAATAGTTAAAGCAGAGAATAACTTCATTGGTTGAGCACATTCAATTTAAAAGACTCTTCAGAAACAGAAAAATTACAAGCTGGGATTTGCTGCTTAATCCTGATTTCAGACGTAAAATCTAATAACGCAGCCATTCAAAAAGGTAATAGGAAGGAGAAGACAAGGACAAGGAGAGACAGGATGTGAAAGCCAAGAGGCAAACCAAAAGGAATAGCTGAATAAGCATACAAAAGCTCACATTAATCAAAGCTAGCCACTGTTTGTCGACTAACGAATGTCACACTATGACTTACCTGCTCTCCATTCTCCGATGTAACTCTGAAAAGGGGTCGATTCCTTAATCCATCATCTCTGAGTACTTCCATCTTATATGTTGTATGAACATTTGGCTCTGAAGTCATCAATACAAAAGGCAAAAACACATAAGATGCTACTAAGGGTGAAATTTCTCCACAAGAATACAGCTGAAATCAAGAAAAAGCCCATGTAGTTCCAATGGAATTATATAACAAAAACTTCAATGAAAGAGTCTAAAATAATCAACCTGTTATAGAAGGAAACCTCCTCAAAGCAGTATATCCTTCCGGCCAGATGTATCTCTCATCCTGAATATTTTCCCAGTCTCTGACAACCTTTCCTGAATTAGATATATAGTATAGTATTAAACTGCAAACCTTGATTTAATATAGCCCTGACTAGAAGAATAACAATTTATTGAGTACATCTAGTTTAACAACATTCAATTTAGAAAGGTGGCATCTCATCATCAATCCCCATAATCAAAATGCATTTTCATCATGTGAACCACTTATCTAGCTGGCAAGGCAGTTTGGACCCGCATGGAAAATTACCAAGAGTTATTATTTGCAGGTCCCCAACTTCAAACGGAAAGCTTTTGACTGCTTCAATTCTTCTCTGTATGTCTTCATCCGCCTTGCCCTCCTTACCTGAATCATCACTGCCTTCATCCTCCCCACTTTCAACATTGTAAGCATTAGCCTCAAAGCCATTCCTCAGCCGTACCATTCTCTTTGGAAGCTTTTGTGCGCTAAGATACCTGATGGAAAAGGTAACTACCAACATAAATATCACATTCCAAATCTACAATTAATAAATAGCTGTCTGTAAAGTTTATCAAATTCATACTGTTCACAGATAAATTTTGTTCGGCACCCAATCACCAGGAGCAACAATTCATAGATGCCATATACGAACCCACAAAAATATGGTTGTTCTCCCATAGGGAGTGAAGTAGACAAGCAAACAACAGCAGTAAATCATAAAAAGAGTTGCCAAAAACCTTTTACCAAAAAAGCACAGGGACACAAACCTTATTATTACTTCAATTCCACAGCACATTTTCCAAACAACAAATTAACACTAGCATCTCCTGGCCAAAATTCTTGTTCAGTCTTACCACAAAGATTAATAGTTAGGGTGTTAAAACTAAAAAACAGCAATATGCTCAAGGTACCTACTTAATAATGCCCCAGAAAGCATTACAAGAAAATTGTATCTTTACTTCAAAATGCTAAAGCTGTTTAACGAGAAAAGGAATTCACAACGCAAGCAATTGCAATCCCAGGGCAATATGAAGTGTGATATTTGGGCCATATCCTGAAGAAATTAGGCCAGTAGCTATCCAAACACTTCGATTTGACTTTTAGTAAACCAACTCAGCAGTTTCCAGTTTCATTTTTGATCTTATAAATCTAGCAAGTTTTATTATGTATGAACAAACAGAAAGAGCTTAATTAAGCCACAACACAACAAACTTATGCAAAAAGCAGCTCAATGTGATAATGCTTGGATCAGTGAAGCCAAAGGGGGGAAAAATAAACACCATTGTTCCTGGAGAGTCTATATTAGTGACACAGATATCACTTCAAGGAAGTTAAGGACAAAACTGTCTGAATCAAGACAAGTTGTGTAAAAAACTAGACTGTCCCATAAGAAATTTTTCAGCACAAGGAAGAGGTTGTCCATCTGTCAGCACCATTCTTATCCTGATAGGGAAAAGGCAAAAATCATCACCTTTCAGTTCCATGCAACACCATTTTTTTTTCTCTTTAACTAAAGGTGCTTTCCCTATGTTTCCCAGCTCCTCTATCATGAAAAAAAGTCTACCAAGACCAACAACATGCCTGGATGGAGAACCCTTCACCACTTTCGTATAGTTGCAGGGGTTTTCCACAAAAAGGAAATGTGGATAAGGAGACTCACATTTTAGCTTCCTCCAAGCTCCGTACAAAATTTGGTTTCTTGCACTTTAGGTGGAAAGAAGAAAGAAGCCCTCTAAGAAATGACATAACTTGTTTTCTCTTAACCCTGAGAAAAAGGGAATGCAACAATTTGAGAAGATGATGACTGTTAGACTACCCAGAAAAAAGTCAATTATCACACATCCTAATATCACACCTTGCAAAATCATGAGTGCCGAAAAACTGAACAAGTACTGATTTTTCTCCTGAATTTCTGTTCAGGCCCTTATGCTCACCAAAAAGAGAGCCGTCCAAAACTAACGCAGGCCACATGGCATGACCTGCAAGCAAGAAACAAATAAGTTTTAAAAGAGCTAAAAAGGAAACTGATTTCAACATCCTCCAGATTGAAATGATCATAGAATTTTTTGTTCCCATGGATGGCTATAGACAACAAAATCATACCATAGAACAGAAGATCTAGTAGGAACGAAAGCCTCAACGTCCAATAATCCATTTTTTTCCCTTTCAAATAACATCAGTAACGATATAGAACCGATTCCAATTTCATAAATCTTCAGTTTCCTCCTTAATTTAGTTCAGACGATAAAGGGCAACCAAATCTCATCAACTACAAAATCCTACTCTGTGTTCTAGTATACAACTAATATTTACTTCAGACCTAATGCTGGAACAAGCCACTACAAGTACATTTTTAAGGCGATTAACTTAACAAGGATATAATTGCACAAAAAAGGATATAATCGCATAATAAGACAGTGATAATGGCTGATATGCTTGCTTCAGACATACTTGATTTTCACATAGTGTATCTTTTTCCAACATAGCAACAATGTACAAGTTTCCTTTCATTCATTCACATCGTTCTTGTTGACAATCTCATACACTTATGTCATGAGCTCCATCACAGAATACTAATGATAAAAGACAGATTAATGCTAAAAGAAGCTACTGTGCAGATCAAATGAGTAACAGGGTACAGTAAAATGTGATGTAAAACACGAGGACAGATACCAGTAAGCTTGGCCCAAATTATATCTGCTGGCTCCAGCTCTTCACAGTCATCCAAACTAGCAGCCAACACCACCATCTCATTGACATCAATTGCATCACCCTCCAGGCACTTATCGCTGGCCCTCAACTTTAGACGTTGCATCTCCTCAGGAGAAATGTGAAATTTGATTCTTTCATTTGATAAAATCAATTTCTCTTCATCACCATCCTCATACTCAACCTAAAATTTGACCGTTATGTCACTATATTATCTTCCATTTTAGACCGATGTTCAATACATAAATGTCACGTGCGAAAGTGCAGTGTTTCCTTTTTTCTCTATTTTTTATATCTTTTCGTGGTACAAGCTTAAAGATATGCCTTTTACGACCTTAATGCCGTAAGAAAAAGAAAAGATCATAACAACAAGTGGACCGCACACGTGTAAGAATTCGCGTGTAGGAGGAGGAAAAGGAAATTACACTGTGTCGCCCCATCTCCAAGTCATATGCAACAACACGACCCTTGTACCAATCAGCATCCAAGGGCCAAAACACCTGTTCACATGGGATCCCATGTTATGTTGAGCCACATTACAACCCAAAAAGCACATACATTTCGCTGAGATGGTTCCCTTTTATTCCAATTACTTTAACAACATTATAGCAATGTGTGCAAACACATACGCACATACACAACAAGGCAGCTAGTTTTTATCCCAATTCCAGTTAATAATCACATGAAAAGGCATAGTTCGGTAGAAGTTCCAACCTTGCATAATAAACCAACAAATTTATATGGGTCTGTTCCATCAAAACTCAACCTGCATTCACAATATCAATTATAAAAGGTAATAAAATAGCAAGGGATTCAACATAACCAATACAGGGAAAGTCAAAATTGGAAAAGTTACCAAACCCATCTCTTTGTTCGAAGAGCTCCAAAATCCCTAATCTCGTCCCCCATCTCACCCTTAGGCTTCCGCTTCCTAATTTTATTAGGACTAACCTGAACACTAGGATTCCTACTCCTATTACCACTATTAACATCATTACCATGTCTAGATTCTCTAAGTTGCAACCTATCTAAAGTACTTAATGCAATCGAATCCAACCCCAAATTTGCCAGCTCATACCCACCAACTTTCCTCCTTTTCCCCTTCTTTGCAATCAATTCACCATTCTCCACCTCAATCCCCTCATTTTCTTCTCCCTTTTCCTTTGAATTTCCCAAATTTACACCCCTTGATCGCGAATTCTGCCACCCGTCTTCTCTTTCCTTTCGCTTGCCCTTATTTCGTCGCGTATAAACCTTAGTTATTGGCGGCTTCCCCTTTCCATCACCAGCCACATTAACCCTACTGTTATCACTACCATCACCACCCCTCACTCCTTCCATCGACGACAAAATCTGATGAGGTGGTTTAGCCGCAGGATCATGTCCGTTGAAATGACTCATTGATTTCCGCGGGGGTTTCACTTTCTTCGACCCCCCACTAGCTGAACTTACGCACGGAGAAGTGGCAGAGTACACATCGCACAATGGAACATACCGCAGCGGAGTATTCCCCCCATCCTCTTCTTCCTCGGCCCCGGCGATTTCAATTTCCGAGCCCTTTCTACCCTGCAGCGGCTCGTGATCGCCCAAATTCAATAATTCCACAGGCTCGTTTTCTGTCTCTAATTCTTTCCCTTCCTCTTTGCCTGCCTCGTTGTTATCGAACCTAATTAAGGCGGTGGACGGAAATGCCATAGAAATTGAAGAATTTATCAGAGAAAGAAAGGAAATTCCGGTGAAGATATCGGAATTCCTTTCGGGTTTTACGTTGTTCGTCGTCTGTTCGTCTATGGATGAATGGAATTTGGGGAATTGGGGGGAAATGGGGAGATTATTAGGGTTTTAAGAGAAATAAAGAGATAAAGCATGAAATTTGGAGGGAGGGTTTTGGGGATTTCCCGCCCCGTGTAAGTAAAAGTTAGAGGATCTGATGTGGAGCGCCCGAGCAGTCAACACTTCACCTTGCAATAAAATTATGCATATAAATATATGATAAAACAAATAGGAGTGGAATACATCTGTTTTTCGAAGAGGTTTTAGACATACCATATCTGATATTTTGGCAAAATAAGAAATATTGAGGCAAGAAATTTCCTTTATTTAGTCGAATGGCTGTAGTGATTTTAGCGACAACTTAAAAAAAGAAAAAGAAAAGAAAAAACTCTCTTCAAACAATTTTAGTTGGTAGAAACTTTAGCAAGTGATGATGATATCTTTGAAAAATTGCCCCAAGAGGAAGGTAAGGAAATAGGAATATTTGCTTGGAAATAAATTTAATGCAAGAAATGATATGATCCCTCTTTAGTTATCCAAAAGAGGAAAAAAAAAACTCCTTTAGGCAATTTTAGTTGGGATAGACTTTAGCAGGTGACAATGATGTCTTTGATCGGGTCCTAAAGCCTATGTGTTCTTTGGGAACTTTTTATGAAATTTTATGTAATTTATTGTAGAATTTGAAAAAAAAAAACTTTTGTGTAGTTTTAAAAAAACCTTCCTTTTCACCTTTTTTTGTCATTCCCTTCCTTTCTCTCCACATTCTCCTCTCTTCTTCCCTTCCTTCTATTCGCCCTTCCCCCTGCCAACCCTCCTTACCCCTCCCCCTTCCCCTCTCCCGCTAGTTAAGCAACTAAATTTGACTCGATGTGGAAGTCATCAGTTCGAGCCTAACTATCCTTAAATTCAGTGTAAGTTTTTCTATTTTTCTTGAAATATCCAAATAATAGGGCAATTTCAAAATTTTTTATGATGATTTTTGAAAGATCTGCTTCTACGATGCTATGCGGCTTAGAATCAAGGAAGTTCTCAACAACAATGCTGGTCCCTTTTCACAATAGAAAGATACTTGAGCAAGATTTTAAAATGACATTTTCTTTTGACCCAAATTTCGAAATGACTAGTCTTGTTAGACCCTAAGAATGGAGCTACTAAAGTGGGACTTCTTAATTAAAAATTTCACTAAGAGTCAAACCTATTGAGTTTATACTTCGGACCTAATGACACAATACTTCCAATTACTTTAACCTCTTTTCTAAAATTCAGAATAAAAAGCTTTTTTCAATAGATGAGATCATACAACTATGTGATTTGTCTGAATCAGGAGATAGTTTTGATTAGGTGATCAGTAAGAGAGAGAAAGGGAGGAGAAGTCAATGAAAAGTGAGGGGGAATAGGGTGCCCGGGAAAAGGAGGTGGGAGAAGAGAGAAGGAAGAGGAAGGGATGGAGGAGAAACAGAAAGAGAGAAGAAAGAGGAAATACAAGGAAAAAAAAAGTGGGAGAAAAGGGAAGGTGCGCTGGCACCAAAGGTAGCACCGACGACAATAGGAGGAGTGAGGGGTGATAGTGGCGGCAGGAAGATGGTGGTAGAAAAGAGAAATGGGTGTGTGAAATACAAGGAAAAAAAAAGTGGGAGAAAAGGGAAGGTGCGCTGGCACCAAAGGTAGCACCGACGACAATAGGAGGAGTGAGGGGTGATAGTGGCGGCAGGAAGGTGGTGGTAGAAAAGAGAAATGGGTGTGTATTTTAAAACCTTTGTAGTGTTTTTAAGGGGTTCCTATAGATAAAGTGGTAAAAAAGTTTGTCTATTAAAAATAGGCAAAAAACATGGAATCCAAGCAAACCCAAAAATCATATTATTAGATATAAGGTTATCAACCCAATAGAAGTTAGCATTAAAGTCGTTATGGCTTTATTGGGTGAAAATTGAGAAAGTAATTCTTTAACTATTAAGGGCTTGTAGTGGTATTTTTATAGGGTGAACCTTTAAAAATGACTATTCCAAAAGTTAATCCAACATAGACTATCAATTTGAATGTTAAAACAACTTGCTTTATAGTTTTGGTGTTTTGTTTTTATACCCCATGCAATCTTGGATAGATAACAATTGGGAGTTATTAGGAGTAATGGTAAAAATTTTATTGTAGACTTATTTTGGGATATTTTTTGAATTTTTACCCTTATCTCTACCTTTCTTCACAACGCCTAACATCTTCCTACCACCTTCTTCCTTCCAAACTACCCCCTCGATACATATTTTACTTGCCACCTCGCCTTATTTGTGTTATCTTTCCTTTTCACTCCCCTCACTTTTTCATCATTTCCCATTTATTTTGCTCCCTCCCCTCTTCGCTTCTAATCTAGAAGATGAAGAAAACATAGAGAGGGAGAAAGAATGGTATAGGTGGGAAATGTGGGAAGAGAAGGAAAAAGGTGTCGGCCTATTGGGTGAAAAGAAGTGGGAAAAGAGGAGGAAGGATATGGAATAGAGAGGAGATAGCTAGGAAAGAGTTAAAAGAAGACAATGGAAGAGATGGTCAGGATTTTGAGGAGTGAGGCAATAGGTGGTTGAGATGGAGATAAGAACGGTGGAGGCCAATAATGGAAGGAAAAGAGATATGTAGTATTGGGTTGTTTTGGAGTTATTTTTTAGTGTATTTACAAGATATTTTCCATGTTTTGAGGAGTATTATTGTAGATGTGTATTTAAAATATACAACTTTGTATGGATTCAAGTTTTTTAAAAATAGTTTTTCAATGAGATAATTTCATAAATCTCCCTTATTTTTTTTTTGTATCACTGAACTCCCCTAAACTTTTAAATATATCACATACCTCCCCTAATTTTTTTGTAACATTTCAATTTATCTAAGGAAAAGTAAGATTAGAAAATGAGGGAAAAAATCATCCCACAGTGCCCTTCTATAGTCCTAATTGTCAATTTATTGCAATTTTGTGTAAAAATAAAAAGGTTGGAAAACAAAGACAACCTACTACTAAAATGCTCCCAAAATATTGCTGCTAAAATATTAATTTATTCAATAAGAATATCAATTCTTGTTTTATCAAGTTGCAAAACTATTTTTATTTCAAGGTGTTTAAGCATTTTTTTTTAGCAGAGGCAGTGTGAGATTTAAGAAGCGAGAAGGGGAAAGGGAGATTTGAGCCTAAGACTTCCAGTTCTTAGAGGATCAACCTTAGTTATTAAAACCAAAACTTCCTCAACAAGGTGTGTAAGCATATATTTGCAGTGAAAAAGGAGAAAACTTAAAATTCTTACATATCTTGATTAGAAAACTACATATATAATGATCAGAGAATTATCTATATCATCTTTGTTTCTCACATATCATGGTTAGAAATTTTTGTCTAAATTGGCACCAAATTTGTATGGCAGTTTTGTTCATAATGATGCTAGAATTATCTTTTTTGTTTTCTATTTTGTTTTTAGATTGTAAAAATAAGGTCAAATATAACTTTTATAAAGTATTTTGATAATACTCGGTGCTTAAATAGCACTAAATTTGTGATGAAGTGTGTTTCTTAATAATGGTGCTAGATTTTTTTATTTTCAAATTGTAAAAATAAGGGTCATACTTTTTCTAAAAATATTTTAATGATAACCATGAAAAATGAGGGTAGAATTGTCAATTAATCACTTATATGTCCACCATTAGATTCCACTTGGTTAATATGGGAGGTAAATGATATTTTTAAATTTCAAGGGAACCCAATAATACTATCATAAACTTCAGAGAAGCTTTCAAAAAACATCAATATATCAAATTCAAGTTTAGAGTAACACATCCCAAAAAAAGGCACACCAAAAAACACCCCAATTACACCTTATAAATAAACCAAAATTATCAAAATAATCTAACCAAAAAATATTTAAAAATTTTCTTTCTCCACCGCCCATCACCCACTTGCCACCTTCTCCCTCCACCATCACCTCTCACCCCTACAATCCTCTCCTTTCTGCCAAATGCTAGTCGCTTTTCCTACCACATTTCCTTGTCTGCCACCTCATCCTTCTCTCTTCTCTTCCCACTCCTTTTCTCTTATTCTCTTCTTCCTTCTTTTTCCTTGCTCTTCTATCCTACTCCACTATCCCACGATCACAACGAAGACGAAGAAAAGGGAAAGATTTAGAGGAAGGAAATAAATTGGAATTATTGAATTTGAAGGATCGAAAGTAGGAGCAGATTTGATTGGACTTGGAAATTGAAATCAACGGTGTTGAGAGCAATAAAAAAGATAGTTTGATATTCTGCTTTGAGTGCCTATCCAAAATGCTCAATAAGTTTCTAAGACACATGCTGTGGACTCTGTTGACTTGTATGCGAATGGTAATTTCTATTTTATTTTTTAAGTTTGTTAGCAAGCTATTGTTATTCGATTATTTCTTTAACAATACCTTGTTTTTTGGGTACAGAGTTTAATAGAGGTCCTTTTTTTTACTTTTTTTTTTTTTACCTCTCCCACTCCCCTGTTCCCTTCTTGCCCCAAACTTACCAGTCAAGATTTGAACTCCGGTCTATTAGGTGGGAATTCAACTCTCTGACCACTTACCTCCACAACTAGTGGTTAAGTTTAATAAAGGTCACAAGTGAAAAAATATCTCATGTTAGAAACAGAAAACACTGTAAGCATAAATAACGAATTCAAAATCAAATATCCTAATATAATATTGAGGAAGCTATTTTGGATGATCGTAAAATCTTGCACTCAATAAAAATTTAGAAAGCATTGTAAAAAAAAGTAAGTACTCTTAAATGGCTTAGGAAGATCCAATTCATCTATAGGTTATATTTTCCTATTAGATTTATAAATGATCACATTACAAGTAAGATTTTTTAACAATTCTATAAGGTATTTTTGGGAAAAACTCAGTCTAAGTTTTGTTGTATAACATAGACTCTAGAAAAGATTTAAAAAAGGATGCGATTGTAAAACAAAGTAGGACTTATTAGTGAAAATAAGTAAAACAAAATTATTAATACTAGTAGGAGGTGCACCGTGCTTTATGCTAGTGGATCAGAATGTGAAGTTAAAGATTGTGATATTACTTATACTATAAAATATCAACGAAAAACTAGTAACTTTAACATTGGGTGTAATTTGGAATCCCTAACTACCACATTGCTAAAGTTCCCCTT